ATCACTGTACGAAGTAATCGCAGCAGATAACCCGGCGCAGGTGTCCGTACCGTTATGCATTGACTTGGCCATCAACTGGTTGCTCAATGTATATGATAGGTACATTCTACGGAAAAATATGTTTTATAATTAGTATTAAACTATCGATATATACCAATCTTTACTATTCAAATCAGGCTTATGTCTTGTTCTCATATGTACATATATTTTTTAATCTACTATATTTTAGATTTTCTTCAATTTTGAAGACATATTAGTGATCTTCAAGACATTATCCCTTTATCCCAAGACATTATGAAGTTTTGTGTTTAATTTTCAGCCAACGCACTGGTCAGATTCGAGTGCTTTCATTCAAAGTCGGTTTGGTTTTATTGTGCAAGGGACACCTAGAAGAAAAGTACAGATGTGAGTAATATATCAAGATTCTCTCTAATAATAGTCTAAATATATTTAATGTGTATCTAAAAACGCTTTTGTATTATTTACAGACCTATTCCGCTTGATCGCGGATCCTAATAGACTGGTTGATCAACGAAAACTGGGACTTTTGTTGCATGACTGTATACAAGTGCCGAGACAATTGGGTGAAGTCGCGGCATTCGGAGGTTCGAACATCGAACCCAGTGTTCGTAGCTGCTTCGAAAAGGCAGGAAAGGATAAGAACGAGATAGAAGCCGTACACTTTTTAAGCTGGCTGCAACAAGAACCGCAAAGCATGGTTTGGCTACCAGTGCTGCATAGACTATCCGCGGCAGAAACGGCCAAACATCAAGCTAAATGCAATATATGCAAGGAGTATCCTATTATAGGGTTCAGGTAAGATAATTCTAAAATTCATTTACTGGAAAAAGTTGATAATATGTAAAATTGTCGTTGAACATATTGACAAAAATATTCGAATTTCAGATATCGTTGCTTGAAATGCTTCAACTTCGACATGTGTCAGAACTGTTTCTTCTCAGGACGCAAAGCAAAAAATCATAAACTAACACATCCGATGCAAGAATATTGTACTGCGGTAGGATGTTTATCTTTATATCGTTTAAATATTATCAAAAGAAATGGTTCGTGTATATTGAACGACATTTACCGTTTTACAGACGACGTCTGGTGAAGATGTACGCGACTTCACGCGTGCGTTACGTAACAAATTCAAATCCAAACGATACTTCAAGAAACATCCCAGAGTTGGCTATCTGCCTGTGCAGACTGTGTTAGAAGGGGACGCGCTGGAAAGCCCGGCACCTTCGCCCCAACACAGCTCTCTCAGCCAAGATATGCATTCTCGTCTGGAAATGTATGCCTCTCGACTCGCTGAAGTCGAGCTATCGCGCACAAGAAGTAATTCCACACCGGACAGCGATGACGAGCATCAGCTAATAGCGCACTACTGTCAAAGCCTAAATGGTGGCGACAACATTAACGTACCAAGAAGTCCGGTCCAGGTCATGGCCGCGATTGATGCCGAGCAGAGGGAAGAGCTCGAAGCTATGATACGGGAATTGGAAGAGGAGAACGCAACGCTGCAAGCGGAATACGAGAGATTGCGTTCGAAGCAAACCCCGGGTTCGACGCCAGAGGATGGTCACAGTACTAGGCAACCCGATTGCGATATGATTGCGGAAGCCAAGCTGTTGAGGCAGCACAAAGGAAGATTAGAAGCGCGCATGCAATTACTTGAGGACCATAATCGCCAATTGGAGGCGCAGCTACAGAGACTTAGACAGCTTCTAGATGAGGTATATCACAAAAAAAATGTTGCATTTTAAATATCTTTTTTTAAATATTAATTTTTTAAATTATTTACAAGCGAAATAAAAATATTAGAAAATATGAATCAACTTTTATATTTAAATTTGTTTAGCCGAACGCTTCTTCGCCATCGAAGACCGGAACTTTACAAACTCGAAGTGTAACGGCATCACAATTAGCGACCGATTCTCCAGCAAAAATGAATGGCCATTATCATGATTCTCCAGGTATAATGCACCTCAATTTCATTACAGCTCAAGTTTTGATTACAATTTTTGGGCGAATAAACGAACGATAATACTTGCGGGATGATATAGCAAGGCTTTTTAATTGGGGATCGCTGTTAACGCATTTAATCACACGATCAGATTGTCATACATATTTATTATAACTAATATGCAACAACCGGATATTAACATCTTTTTAATGACACTATACTAACTGCATATTGATACAATAGGGATTCAATGATTTTAATCATATTATCTGTGACATAGTGGTTGAATAGCAAATCTTGCTTATATCTTTTCAAAAACAAATTGTTTTCTGATATATTCCAGAGTCCTATCTTTTATAAAACTAATAAAATTTAATAAATTAATAAAGTCGCTGAGAAAGTTCCGTCATTAACTAATGTTACTAATGTAATTACAAAACTGACTAATTGAAAATGCAATGCAAAATTAGAATAATATAACTTTTTAGCATCATTTGTATTAATTATGATAAGAGTCTCTATTGTTACCTTATTATATACTACATTTACTCAAACACTGAAAATTAGATAAGCTTATTGCTATTGGGTATATGGACATAGGTGGTGGAAACTCGAACGAGGGCAGAGTCAGCAGTTTAGAGAGGCCACCGCCGCCGCCGCATTCTCACAGTGTTGCTCACAATGTGGGCAATCTATTGCACATGGCAGGTTCGTTCAGTTTATATGAAAATGTGATCGTGTGCCAATTATGTAGTATAATCGACTATTATGTTCAGTCTCTATAATGCACGTGTCACTTCTGCTTGATATAACCTAAATAATGTTGCTTTCCTGTTTTCACGCTACAGAATGGATGTAAGGTGAGATCACTATGCTTCTCCCTATAGGGGCTTAAAATTTGCTTGGATACATTAATACTAGATATGCAAAATAAAACAGCTGTTCATAATTATTGGTAATGCAATGGGAACAATCTTATGCATTAATTAAATTAATGCATAAATCTTTAATATTAATCATGTATTTTATCTGCTTGAATTCTTCTTTTCGACTCGTTTTCACGCTTATTTCTTCGTTTCTCTCATATACCTCTGAATATTTGTGCACGTGTTGATTGTCCAAATATAAATTGTGAAATTAACAGCATATAAACTCTGAATCTTAGGAACAATAATGAGAAAATATAGGCAGATGGTAAAGAGCTTTCTCTTTTTATTTTAGGCGACTTAGGAAAAGCTGTAGGTGAATTGGTAACAGTCATGACGGAAGACACATCGAAAACGAACGGACAACGAGCACCACCACCGGCATTCAAATAACAATTGCAACCGGGAAATTCGTTCCATCAACGCATGCTGATAAAAGATGATGCTAAAAGTCGGCTAAATCGACGCGCTATCAATTTGATATCCACGATTGTAAACGTTTAATAATCGTAATCACTGACCAATAACACACAAGTCTGGCTCTAATACGCATATCAGAGACAAGTACATGGTATATCTGCCGCGCAAATGCAGGGTCAGGGGACTCGTCTCGTGGTGTGGTGGTTTCGGGTATTTTATAAGTTTTGATATACGTCATTCTATAGCTGGATTATATCAATAAGACGATTATGATTTGGCTTTCGGCGCTGTCCCCTGAGAGTAACTTTATTACATATTGACATGTCATATCATAAAACTAATTGTAATGAGAAATCAATTGTTATGCTTGCTAGCTAAAGTATACAAACAATTAAGAGATATAATGAGAATAAAGGAGAATACACGGAAGGAAATATCATTAACAATGCATGCAAAAGCAATGTATCAAATCACATAATCTATTATAGATCGTAGTTTATATTTACATACCCATTCTGTTCACTGCCACGGGCTCTTCCTCGACGTAACTTACACAATGTACATGTTGCGGTTCTAGACGACACATAATGGGAAATAGACAGAATTCATATATCTGACCTCCTGTACTCGACGCTTTTGAATTTTACATATATAATCACACGAAAGAAAGAGAATCTTTTATAATAAAACAGAGAGCGATGCGCATTACAATTTTCAAGTTTATTTTTTATCCAGTTACATGATTTTTCATATTTTTTAAATAAATTTAAACGGCAATGTCTATTATTTAAGCCTGCCGAATGTTATTATATATCTAAGAGTATATTGATAAGTACCTAACTAATAAACTGTAGGCTGTATTCTCTAATATGTAATAAAGTTGTCTAGAAAATACTTCATCGCGATATTATTAAAATGTGAGCTCTTACCGTGGTTCTATTATTAAGTGATCAGTCTGCGATCTGCTTCCTGGCGGATAATTTTTATATTTTGAGTGAATTAAACGCGCAGCACGTTTTTTTACGTATCATAGATGCCATATGTTAATAATATTATTATATTACTATTATATTACGAGGAGACGCTTGCGAAATGTAAAATACATATCTTCGAAAAAGAATATCATATTTTACCAATTCGATAAACATTGCGAACAAATGTTGGATAATATGTAACAAATGTATTGTTATTTGCCGTCGTTAGGTCACAAACAGATTGATTTCACTTTATAGAGTGTAAAATGATCGAATATGTTTTTTCAAGCTCCGTCTGTAATCTGTTGAAAGATTGTTGGTTTTGCGATTTCATACATTAAAATATAACACATTAAAAAATTTTAGAGGATTAGTCATATATAAAAATGGAGTTATATACTGCATACATCAAACAGGTAACTACGTTACTTGTAATATATTATAATATAACTGAAATGATATGGGACAAAATGCTTAAATAAAAATAATGGATATAAAAAAATCTTATATTTTTTTTCTCTATGTCTGTTCGTTATAATAAGTATTAATCTGGTAATATTGCCAGAATTACGTAGTTACCTATTTGCAGCCTCTATCATCTACTAACATCACGACACGAGCCACACAACCGACACGACGTAATGCCGTGTGGAACGCACTTATTGGTAAATACGCTAGAACGGCCTCCGCAGCTATATATATATATATATCTTTTTTTTTTTTTTCAGACGTATTACAATTACTTCATTATTTTAATTATATATTTCCATACCTTCTGTTATTATGCGAGCGGAATTTTCGTTATTTAAACTGGTTGAGTTCTTGTCATCAGAATCTTCTATGTAGTCCAATCTTTTTTGAAATTCCTTATTCACCGCATCATTTATACAATTGTGATACGTCCATTATAGATATGTCCGTTATAGATGTGTTTATTATAAATTTATTCATTGAAGTTGGTTCTTGGAGGCTCGTCTATTTGTACCGTCGTCGATCTGGAATTTAAAAAAAATTAGTTTTTTATATAATTATAAAATCTTTTTTTTTTAAAACGTTTCCATTATTTCATTATATTTAAATTATATATTTCCCTATCTTCTCTTATCATGCGAGCGGAATTTTCATTATTTAAACTGGTTGAATTCTCGTCATTAGAATCTTCCAATCTTTTTTGAAATACTTTATTCATCGCATCATTTACACAATTGTGATGCGTCCATTATAAATGCGTTTATTATAGATTTGTTCATTGAAGTTGGTTCTTGGAGGCTCGTCTATTTATGCCGTCGTCGATCTGGAATTTAAAAAAAATTAGTTATTTATATAATTATAAAATCTTTTTTTTAAACATAATTATTTCATTATTTACATTATTTTCCTATCTTCTCTTATCGAGCGGAATTTCCGTTATTTAAACTGGTTGAGTTCTTGTCATCAGAATCTTCTATGTTGTCGAATCTTTTTTAAAATTCTTTATTCATTGCATTATTTGAACAATGCCCCAGACTTCTAAGGAGGGTCTTTCTTGATGTGTTCGCTTGTAAGAAATATATTTAATACATATATATTTTATATTTTATTCTATCTACATAGAAAATTATTTTTTTTAAATTAAACACTATTTTTTTTGGAGATGCCGGATGATCCGATTTAATTGTATAATTTTAAAATGCACTGCTTGAAATTTTTCCTTTTTTTGGCAGTTATAACTTATCTAATTGTTTCTCCAGTTTTTTTATTTTATGTACGTATGTTTTTTCGAGTTGTAGTCTTTGATGTTTCATTTCGTCTATGTGTTGTTTGTGTAATTTTATTAGCCCCGCGTTGTACGTATTTCCTATTGCTAATTGTATGTTAATTTGCTCTATGGAACTTGCCATTTTAAATAATTTATAAGATGGATCTATAAGAATAAGGATTATTTATAAGATATGGATATACAAGATGTCCCAAAATTGATAGTAGAAAAAAGTGGCATATTCTACAGATCAAAATAAGATAAAATTGTCCTATGAACATGTGTCCGGAAACGCACCCCTTCTGAGTTACAGCACCCAAAATTTCCCGAAAAAAGTCGAATTTTCTGTATATTGTCTAAACTTGAGTTTTTTCGAGCAACTTTGGGGGGCTGTAACTCAGAGGAGATGCGTTTTCGGACACATGTTCACAGGACAATTTTATCTTATTTTGACGTATAGAAAATGCCTCTTTTTTCTACTATTAATTCTGGGACAATCCTATACTATATTATAGTATATTTAAAAACTATGATATATAATGTAGACTGTATCTTACTTGCGAGAGTAAAGGAGCGATGAGGAAGTTGCGACAGCGGCAGCGGCACGTCAGACTCTACAGTGTGAAACGTGATGAGTGACTTTACAAATACCCTTGTATAAAAAAAAAATAAAAATAAATATTTAATACGTTAATAACGCTTTTGTATATTAATCATGTTCATATGATTTTTCTTTGTTATCTAATTTTAGAAATCAAAATTTGCCCGTGAAAACATGCTGTATTTGTATACATATCTTTTTAGTTAATATTTTCTGTTTATGACCTAATAAAAAATTGCTTGAAATATCTTTGACTTTAAACAGTGGCGTAGTAAGGGAAGGGTTCACCTGGAGCGAACCGTCCCTCTGCTTCCCTCCTTTACTACGCTATTGGCTTTGAATCCTTTCTGAATCTTATTGTTGGTAATTATATGATTTTACGCAACTCCAAGACGTCATTTATAGCTATCGTAGTATTGTTTTTGTCATTATTATGAAAATAATTATTATTATCATTAAAATGAGAAATTTCATCTTGTTCTATTTGATGATTACGTATTAAATGGCGCTTTAAAAAATAAATATTAGCATATTTTTTTAAACAGTTTGTAAAATTACATTCGATTTGTGAATATACGCAAGTTCTATGTTTCAATGTAATATGTAACATCAAAGTATTTAACGAATGAAAAGAAAGTTCACATTAAAGACAAGAGATCATTTTTTTATTATGTGCTGGCGTCGCGACGCTACTGCATCGCTTGATAAATCATTACATATTTGTAAAATTTCATGTTATTTTTCACATAAAAATAAATATTTAATACGTTAATAACGCTTTTGTATATTAATCATGTTCATATGATTTTTCTTTGTTATCTAATTTTAGAAATCAAAATTTGCCCGTGAAAACATGCTGTATTTGTATACATATCTTTTTAGTTAATATTTTCTGTTCATGACCTAATAAAAGATTGCTTGAAATATCTTTGACTTTAAACAGTGGCGTAGTAAGGGAAGGGTTCACCTGGAGCGAACCGTCCCTCTGCTTCCCTCCTTTACTACGCTATTGGCTTTGAATCCTTTCTGAATCTTATTGTTGGTAATTATATGATTTTACGCAACTCCAAGACGTCATTTATAGCTATCGTAGTATTGTTTTTGTCATTATTATGAAAATAATTATTATTATCATTAAAATGAGAAATTTCATCTTGTTCTATTTGATGATTACGTATTAAATGGCGCTTTAAAAAATAAATATTAGCATATTTTTTTAAACAGTTTGTAAAATTACATTCGATTTGTGAATATACGCAAGTTCTATGTTTCAATGTAATATGTAACATCAAAGTATTTAACGAATGAAAAGAAAGTTCACATTAAAGACAAGAGATCATTTTTTTATTATATGCTGGCGTCGCGACGCTACTGCATCGCTTGATAAATCATTACATATTTGTAAAATTTCATGTTATTTTTCACACCTACACATACACGTACAAAATGAAAGTGTGAAAAAGAATCATGACCATTTTACAGTAGGTATCCTATTCGTCGGTCTGCAGTTATGATTTATTTGCTTCTTCCCTCTTAGTCATGTTCTGTATGGTACATCTGAAGAAGACAAGCTTAAAATGTTACCATCTGTGTTTTGAGTAGCCTTGGCACGTGCCTTCTTTTTGTTAGAATAAGGGTTAATATGGCGCCATAACGTTTCAGAAGACTATATATATCGCCAGATGTATTAAAGAAATAGCAGATGTTGATTTTTATATTTAGAAAATCCGAAAAAAATAAAAATATTTAGAAACATTCAATTACACTAATATAAATTTTTTTACCATATCTCATAAAACAATTTTAATAAAATATTGAATAATGAAATAAATATTAATAAAGTTAAAATTGAATATATTTGTGTGTAAAATTGAAAGTTTGTTTTATTACAAAGAGATTATGTGAATATGCATCGATATAAAAAGTGAATTCTCGGTCAGAACATTTCTACGGTACAAGGACGTTGCCTGAACTGGTATTCATTTGATCCGGTTTTAACCATCCTTCGGAAGAAATCGTAAGTGAACTAGTAAGCAAAAAGTGTACAACGAACACGGACTTGACTTAGTTTGTGTTTCAAATATACAAACATAACAATTTTATTTATGAAATTATTTAACACAAAAATCTACTCCATTTATTCTTATTCATTGCACTTGTAAAATAAGTTGTGATTTTTATGCAACATATTATTTTATGTAATTATATATTCTATGCAAATATATAAAGAGAAATATTATTCTCTTACATACATAATAAGAATTGTTATACAGATTATTCAAAGGGAAATGAAATAATCTAAACTTCTTAACAAAAGTTATTTGGCAATAAAGAATGATATTTTCACATGTGAGCAGCATATAATTTTTCAGGAATATAGCAAGGTGAATTCTAGCACATCTTAAAAACGCATTCCATTAACTCAAATTTCGCTAATGCTGTCAGCAGTTTGACACAAGAATCATGAAAGAACCCTGAAAAATTATGCTTAGTATAGCGCAATACATTTAAACACACATAAACTTAATAAATTTTAAAAGATATTTTGTAACTTAAAACTTTTAATAATTTATATACATATGTATGATTACATATGATTACGTCGGATTATGTTTTATGCAACGTATGTGTTCGCGATTGTAAAATAATAATGTCGTATATTTATTAAAATATAATCCGACGTAATCATTGCAATCATTGCAAAAATTAGTTCATAACTATGTTGCGTGATTATTTTTTATAATAATTAATTATGCTTTTGTGCAGATGATATGTTTCATTGTTATCAAGGATTTTCGATCGCATTCATAATATAAATTCTTTCAAAGAAAGCGACCAAGACCTTCATCCTTAATGTTTCTTTGCGTGCAATTATCACGAATGGCGTGAATACACGCGAGGTATGTGTGTAAATGCCGTTTATATAACTGTGAGAGAAATGTACTCTCAGATTCAGAGAGACTCTTATATTATCTTAATTAAGACTCTATTATTATCTCTTATATTATCTTAATACTTATATATATATATAAACGCGTTCATATAAACATTATCACGAGATTATAATTATATGGTTTTATATCTCTCTTTTCTTATATTGCATCTTTCATCATTAACATTTGGATATATATAACATTTTTAAAAACGCAAATATATATTTTAATAATTTTGTTGTAAGTATTCGCGAACAAAAAATATATTTTATCCTCTCGGTTGTAAAAACAGAGTTAACATTCTGCCGTAGCCGTATCTTAAGAGACACGTATGTATATCCGTAGAAGTTCCAATACAGGCGATTGAGTCATCGATACGTGACATGTGTATAAATGTGCATAAACAGAAATTTAGTGCATGCTACGAAGGTCGATAGTAATTGATTTTAAATACAGCACACATTTATTAAATATCGAGCTAAAAGCATTATAGTTATGTTCATATAATCAATATCTCAAATGAAATAATAAAGCGTTTTATGCTTTTATTTGTATTGACGTCAAAAATAATGTTGCTTATGTTGTATTAACATGTAATTTTTATTCACAATTTTTTTATATGAATATTTCAATGATAAAGATTCATCGAAAATGTGTTAAAAATAATATATCTTAATATTCTTAAACAAATAAAGAGTTTCTCTAAATTTAAAAGTGTCTCCCCTTTCTGTACAGTTAAAATAAAACTTGTATATTCTAATAATTTTTCCAGTTGACTTTGCGCAATATATATATATAAAAGGAAGTTGTTAATCTTTGTGCAATAAATACTTAAAATATTTTTTTCGGAGTTGTAAAAACGACTTATATTTTTTTCATAGAGAGCTTGTCTCTCTATTATTATTATAAATTATAAGTTATGTGAGAGACACTCACAAAACTCAGAAGCTGATATACGAATCGAATCTTATTTCATCGTTCTGATAGTACGATTCCGTAGTGCTAGTTTTCCAAATTTATATAATGTCTATTTTTATCATTCTATACATATGAACGTACAATTCATATATCCCATATATATTAGGTCTACCAGAAAGTTCTGTCCGTTTTTGGAATAAAACAAAATACAAATTTTTATTACCGTCAATAAACTTTATTAAATAATGTAATTGCCATTATTCGGAGAAGTTTCTTGCCAGCGTGAGGGCAATTTGCATATCCCATTTTCGAAAAATGTTTTATCTTTTGATGCGAAAAATTGAACCAATGCTTATTTGATATCTTCTTCATTTTTGAATTTCTCGCCCCTCAAAAAATTTTGTAAGGACAAAAACAAATGATAGTCGGAGGGTGCTAAGTCCGAGGAATATGGTGGATGCGACAGAATTTCCCAGCCTAGTTCTGCAATTTTTTGACGAGTCCCCAAAGCAGCATGTGGCCTAGCATTATCATGATGCAGTATGATGTTCTTCCTATTGAACATCGCCGGCCTCTTTTCATGGACTGCTGTATTTAAATTATCCAGTTGCTGACAATACTTCTCCGAATAATGGCAATTACATTATTTAATAAAGTTTATTGACGGTAATAAAAATTTGTATTTTGTTTTATTCCAAAAACGGACAAAACTTTCCGGTAGACCTAATATATGAACATGATTATAAAGATTACTATAAAAATCTATAAAGATACTTTACATATGAATGGCAAAATGAAAATCTTTGATTAATAAAATATAAAATTAGCTGTATGCTTACATAATTATATTTATCTATCAAGAGATACGGTAGAGTCTCGCGCCAAGTTTATCCTTCCAAAAACACATGAAATAAACCGATTTATGCACTGTCTATACTAATCCATTGTTTAACTGCTAGTAAATGCCAAACAAAGTTTTTTGTTCATTAAATTAGCCGACGCATGCATCCGCAATTCCGCGGAAGCAATACGTAACGCACGCGAGTTGCCTTAGCGAGCGATGCGCGAGTTAGATTTCAAAGGCAACTCGTTTGAAACTTCGACGCCGAGCAAACGAGCCCCGGGAAAAGTACTTTTACATCAAATATCCCGCGCATAGCACGTTACTAAAATTCGTGGGTAAAATTCTTTTGCCGTGACCGGCGATGTAAAAGGTCGCTGCCCTTCTTGCTACCGCCACGTCGGACGGACGCTTCAAAAGCACGCGCTTTCGACAACTCCGAGAAAAGAGACTAAGCGCATCAACCCGCGGGAAATGCACCTCGCAAGAATGCACCATCTGTGTATCATTCGTGGACAAAGACGAGGTATC